ACACACACACACACACACACACACACACACACACACACACACACACACACATACTCACAAAAGCACACAGTTTGATCAGTGTATACATAAAATGTATGCATATACAGACTGTTCAACATAGTATTATATTTCCTTATCTGTCAGCCTGTCAATTTATTTTATGGCGTTTTATTCTGTTTAGCGTAGCGCTTGTCAACCTTTTTATAGCCTGCGTCCATTTTGGCACATTTTAAGAGGTTGACATTTTTCGTTCGGCCTTCCTACATGTACAAAATGGCGTCAATAACTTAGTGGTTAGGCTACCGGACTCCTGATCGTGTGGTTGTAAGTTCAGGGGTTTGAGCCTCAGCTTGGTCCGATGCTGTGTCCTTGGGAAAAGCACTTTACACGAAATTCGTAAATTTGGCTCGATCCTTTTCGAGATGGACGTTAAACTCGGAGGTCCCGCCTCTTAAATAACTCAATAGTGTTGGTAGAGGCGTTAAACATACCTATAACATTTTTACACGAACAAATATATTTCCAAACAAAGCTTTAAATAGCAGTTGCGAGCGCCGTAAAACCCTCTACTAAAAAAAAAGCACAAGGGAGGCAAGTATCCCGAAAAAAAGCTGTTTAGAGAAAATCGAAGACAAACTTTTTGCCCCTTGTTCATTTTCTTTGAAAGACAAGGAGAGTTTTCCTTATAACCAAACAAATATACACACCAATGAAACCAAACTTCTCCTATAGGTAGGGCAATGCCCATTTTTGCTGTAGGTCAAGATTTCTGGAAACCTCCGAAATCTGGGTTTGCCTGCTTGTCCTTAAAACCGACCATATTAGATATAAAACCTCTTTCGGTCTTGTGCAATTTCAAATCATAGCTAGTGGGTGGTTGGCGGGTGCTCTGGTGTGATTTGCTCCTCCTTTCATAAAAAAAATCTATCGTCTCTATCTTCCCTCCTTCTTTTTTGTGTTTGTTACTCTCTTGCAACACCTCTCATCTTTAGCACATGACCTTATTGAGTTGCAATGCCGTAAAACTCTTACTACGGCACTTATATGACCTTATTGTGTTGCAAGTACAGTAAAACTCTTACTTCGGCACTTATATGACCTTATTGTGTTGCAAGTACAGTAAAACTCTTACTACGGCACTTATATGACCGTATCGTGTCGCAAGTGCCGTAAAACTCCTACTAAACTAAACTAAACTAAACTAAAATCCTAGCTGCTCCCACCTCCGCAGGTTTGAGACCCCCATCGTCGTAAGGGTCAATGGACGGGACAAATCCTGCCAGGCCAAAGATACGACTGGCAGCCTTCCTGGCTTTGTTGGCGTCTGGCGCGAAGGCGACGGCCCGGCCCAGCTGCATGGAGGCCAGGATCACACAGGAGAACACTCTGGAACATTGGTGGAAAGTCGCTGATTTAGTACTCTTGTATGAGTGGAAAAATGCACTACTACTACTACTACTACTACTACTACTACTACTACTACTACTACTACTAC